GGCGGCAGCGGGGAGGCCCGGCTTCCTCCCCCCACCGCCGCCTGCCAGCCCGCCGGCTGGCTCCGAGGCGGCGGCGGCGGCGTTGCAGAGCGTCTCCTGCGCATGCGCAGGAGACGCTCTTGCACTTTCGGGGGGATTTAAACATCCCCCCGAATTTTTTTTTAACTTTTTGCATTTTTGTGCACACGTGGGGACTGGCCCACGTGTGCACAAACCTCCCCCTCCCCCCCACCTGCCCCCTCCGTGCTGATTTAGCGATCCGCACGGAGGGGGCAAGTTGGCTATTAGATATATAGATGTGGGGTTTTTTAGCTGAATTTTACAGGTGTTAGCTATTACTAGTGATGGGTATTATATCTCGGGTGATCATGCCCAGCTCATGCCACAGTGAAGAGCTGTTTGTGGCATGCCAACAGGAGCAGTACGCATTAGCTATGCCCTGCAGTCAAGTATGCACCCCTACCTCTTTTCCTGTTCCCTGGCTTTAAAAGGGAGTGGCAAAATGTCCCCAAGGTAAAATGAATTGTGGATGAATATGGTGACACATTTCATACTTTTTTCTGCCTTGAAATACAATGGATAGTAGGTGAAATTTGGCTGGCCACCACTGGTCTAAAGGGCTGAGAATGTGAACTTTGGTTAACAGGTTGTGGGTTAACTTGGGATGAAAATGAATACAGCAGAACAAGCCAGATGCCGTGGTTGTTCTTGTATAAAGTGGGGTGTCTGATTTTTACTTTTAAATAGGTGAATCCTCTGTTGCCTTTCTTCTTCATGCTATGCCCCTTCAGACACTTTTCTCCTACACTGGCTCACCAGTAATGAGAGTTGAAGGGGGGGGTGCCTCAAGTGATGGAAGGCAGGGAGGTAAGAAAGGAGGCTTCGTTCCCTTAGCCCCACCGCAAAAGTGAGAATGCACATACACATCCTATTTTACGCAAGAATGTATTAGGTCCTTAAATATGTAAACATAGCTGACGTCATACTGCTGGATCTTTGTGTGCTACCTCACTATCGGAAATGGGTCTGAACTTATTTATCTGTATCATTTATACACTACCTTTTCCCAAAAACGGGGCCCCAAAAGGACTTACATCATTATCTCCATTTTATCTCCATTTTATCCTCAAAACAATACTGTGAAGGTAGGTTAGGCTAAGGGTGTATGACTGGTCCAAGGCCACCTATCAGATTTTCCTGACAGGCTGGGGATTCAAACCTGGGTCTTGCAGAGCCTAGTCCAACACTACACCATGGCTTAAAAATACAAAACTGTGGGAATGATTCTGCATTCCCTTTATGCAAGGCCTGGTGTTTTCATTATGATGGCAGTTTAGTTGCAAAACTCCGCCTCTTGGTGGCATTGTGGCTCCAGAATTGCAGGGGTTTTGACTTGTAGGTTCCACACTGGCCCTGAAAAACAGAGAATATGGCCCTATTATAGCCCCATCTTCCAACAACTTCCTTCATTCCCCTGTCTGTATGTAGGAAATACAGAAAACACCCCACATGTCATTGAAAATAAACTAAATACTTTATGTAATGTAGTAAATTTATATGTTGCAGGTAACTGGTGTTCTTAAATCTTACCATGCTAACCGTCAGTTGTCAGTCCAGTGGTAGAAAACATAGATTCTTCCCCAGGAGCTGAATTTGCAGACTCAGCACTTAGGACTGCTTACATACAGAACCTTTTATACATGTTGTTCCCAAGCGGGCTGTTGTGTATTTGGTACTGCATGTATGGAGCAATTTGTGTACAATTCAG